TCCTCCTTGGTGGGATTATATCTAGTTATAGCCACCCTTAGAGTGGATAAAGACCCTTTTATAGTATGGGGTCCTAGTTTTGATTTTTGGCGTTTTACTTTGCTGCTTTGTTTAATGTTTACCTAATCTAGTGACATTGTGTATGCTACCCTGCAAAGGTGCTTTGTCTAAACACCGCATATATAATAAAATAGGGGGGGATGTAGGAATGTGTTGCTCCCTAATCACAAGCCTTGAAGAACGGCAAACTGTTCCCTTGGCAATGAGGCAGGAGTGACCTTGTTCTAGCACCTATGTTTGGAAAACTTATTGGCAACCTGACATCACCTTTGCAGCTGGTGTTCACGCGCTCAAGAGATGGGTTCATTATCTTATGTGCATGTATACTGCCTGGTTTTTCTATGCACAAGAATGTAACCACTAAGAAGTGTTGTAAACAAAGTAAGGAGAGAAATAAAAACCCCAGGAAAGTTTTCCTGGGAGGCTTTTTGCAAGAGGCTTGTAAAGCTCTCTGGCTACCAACAAACCTGGCGTTCTGTTTCCTGCGTTGTCACCCACAGTAGCCAATGCAATCAAAGAGTTGCTGGTATCAAGGGTAGTGACTCTGGGAAATGTGCAGGTCATAGTGGATGGCTTTGCTGCAATGGGATTCCCTAACTGTGGTAGGGCGATAGATGGAACCCATATCCCTATTCTTGGCACCGGAGCACCAAGCCACCGAGTACATAAACCGCAAGGGGCACTTTTCAATGCTGCTGAAAGCACTGGTGGATCACAAGGGACGTTTCACTAACATCAACGTGGGATGGCCGGGAAAGGTACATGATGCTCGCGTCTTCAGGAACTCTGGTCTGTTTCAAAGCTGCAGGAAGGGACTTTCTTCCCAAACCAGAAAATAACCATTGGGGATGTTGAAATGCCTATAATTATCTTTGGGGACCCAGCCTACCCCTTGCTCCCATGGCTCATGAAGCCATACACAAGCAGCCTGGACAGTAGTCAGGACCTGTTCAACTATAGGTTAAGCAAGTGCCGAATGGTGGTAGAATGTGCATTTGGACGTTTAAAAGTGCGCTGGCGCAGTTTACTGACTCGGATAGACCTCAGCGAAATCAATATTCCCATTGTTATTACTGCTTGCTGTGCGCTCCACAATATCTGTGAGAGTAAGGGGGAGATATTTATGGCGGGGTCGGAGGTTGAGACAAATCGCCTGGCTGCTGATTACACGCAGCCAGACACCAGGGCAGTTAGAAGAGCACAGCAGGGCACGCTGCACATCAGAGGAGCTCTGAAAACTAGTTTCATGACTGGCCAGGCTATGGTGTGAAAGTTCTGTTTGTTTCTCCTTGATGAACCCCCCCCCCCCAGTTCACTCTACTTCCCTGTAAGCTAACCACCATCCCCCCCCCCTTCGATCACCGCTTGCAGAGGCAATAAAGTCATTGTTACTTCACATTCATGCATTCTTTATTAATTCATCACACAAATAGGGGGATAACTGCCAAGGTAGCCCAGGAGGGGTGGAGAAGGAGGGAAGCACCAGGGTGGAGTGGGGGAGGAGGTAAGGACAAGGACACACTGCACTTCAAAACTTTAAAACTTATTGAAGGCTAGCCTTCGGTTGCCTGGGCAATCCTCTGGGGTGGTGTGGCTGGGTGGCCAAAGGCCCCCCACCACATTCTTGGGCATCTGGGTGAGGAGGCAATGGAAGTTGGGGAGGAGGGCTGTTGGTTACACCGGAGCTGTAGAGGTGGTCTGTGCTCCTGCTGCCTTTCCTGCAGCTCAACCATATGCTGGAGCATATCAGTTTGATGCTCCAGCAGCCAGAGCATCGACTCTTGCCTTCTGTCAGCAAGCTGACGTCACTTATCCTCTTCAGCCTGTCACTTGCTCTCTTCAGCCCGCGATTCAGCCCGCCACCTCTCCTCGCATTCATATTGTGCTTTCCTGCACTCTGACATTGTCTGCCTCCACGCATTCTGCTATGCTCTGTCAGCGTGGGAGGACATCTGGAGCTCCGAGAACATGTCAGCCCGAGTGTGCCTTTTTTGCCTTCTAATCTTCACTAGCCTCTGCAAAGGAGAAACATTTGCAGCTGGTGGAGAAGAGAGAGGTGGTAGTTAAAAAGACACATTTTAGAGAACAATGGGTACACTCTTTCACGTTAAATCTTGCTGGTCACATTACACAGCACATGTGCTTTTGTTACAAGGTCGCATTTTTCCTCTTATATTGAGGGCCTGCCAGTTTGGTGTGAGAGATCACTCACACAGTGCCAGGCAACAGAATTCGGCTTGCAGGCAGCCATGGTAAGCCACAGTCTTTTGGCTTATTTAACCGTCATAACATGTGGGAATGGTTTCAAACAGCAGCGTCCTCATTTCCCATACCAAGCGGCCGTTGGGTTGGCCATTTAAAATGGGTTTGCAATTTAAAAGGAGGGGCTGCAGTTTCCAGGTTAACGTGCAGCACAAACTCAACTAACACCCCCCCCACCCCCAATTCTCTGGGATGATCACTAAACAGCGGGGAATATTTCTGTTCAGCCGAGCAGGAACGGGCACATCTGAATGTCCCCTTAATAAAAATCACCCCATCTCAACCAGGTGACAGTGAATGATATCACTCTCCTGAGGATAACAAAGAGAGATAAGGAATGGATGTTGTCTGCATGCCAGCAAACACCGAGAGCATACGCTGCCATGCTTTGTTATGCAATGATTCCAGACTACGTGCTACTGGCCTGGCGTGGTAAAGTGTCCTACCATGGCAGACGGGATAAGGCAGCCCTCCCCAGAAACCTTTTGCAAAGGCTTTGGGAGTACATGGAGAGCTTTCTGGAGATGTCCCTAGAGGATTTCCGCTCAATCCCCATACACATTAACAGACTTTTCCAGTAGCTGTACTGGCCGCGAATGCCAAGGCAAATCAATCATTAAACACGCTTGCTTTTAAACCATGTGTAATATTTACAAAGGTACACTCACCAGAGGTGCCTTGTGTGCCCTCAAGGTCTGGGAGCATGCCTTGGGTGAGTTCAGGGGTTACTGGTTCCAGGTCCAGGATGAAAAACATATCCTGGCTTTTGGGGAAACCGGTTTCTCTGCTTCCTTGCTGTTAGCTATCTTCCTTGTCCCCAAAACCCGCTTCCGTGTTTCGTGATTCTCCATTGACTGAGTCAAAGCACATGGTTGGGGTAGTGGTGGCTGCACCCCCTAGCATGGCATGCAGCTCAGCATAGAAGCGGCATGTCTGCGGCTCTGCCCTGTACCTTCCGTTTGCCTCTCTGGTTTTGTGGTAGGCTTGCCTTAGCTCCTTAATTTTAACGCCAAAACTAGAAAAAGTCTCAAAGGGCATGAAGGACAGAGGCCATAACAGCTTGGCATCCATAGGGAAGAAATATCCTATGAAGCTCTCTCTCTTTGGATCCAAACGGTGAAAGATGATTGCTCTCAATCTAACCCTGGCATCCTTTGGAACTGTAATCAGACACACTGAAGTAGGAAGTGGAGACGTACAATTTTCCTTGGGTCACTGGTCACCATAGCTTCCTTTACTGGGGTGGAAAGCAAGAATTGGAGGTGTACTCTTTTGGGGAGGGAGAGCTCAGTGGTTTGAGCATTAGCCTGCTAATTAGCCAGGATTGTCAGTTCAATCCTTGAGGGGCCATTTAGGGAATCTCAAGCAAAAATCTGTCTGGGAATTGGTCCTGCTTTAAGCAGAGGGTTGGACTAGATGACCTCCTGAGGTCCCTTCCAACCTTGATATTCTATGAAACACCAGTTCTTTCCAAATCTTTGGCCTTGGTTAGGGTAAATTTACAATTCTATGAAGTAGAATCCTTTACCAAACCACTCCAAATCTCAGCAAAGTTAGTGGGGAATGGCTTCTCAAAACATGCCCAGCTTTTCTTTAATTTGGTGGCACAGTTCCAGTCATGGGACTGGATACAGGCCTGGATCAGAATCTCTGTTAGTTACCAGAGCTGGAGTTTCTATTAAAAAATAGCTATGTTTCTGCAGCTATTAGATTTCCAGCACTGATTTAATTTTATACATATTTTTAGCCCCTACAAAGGATAAATTCAAACCCCCCACTTCTATTTCCTCAACATCTGCGTCAAAAAGGGCAGTATTTCCCATACCACAGGATTAGCTAGGAGAGATCTTCTGTAGGGCCTGTGTTACAAATGCTTTGGGAACCAAATACATGGACATTTTGCCTAGTTCAAAACCACTTACTGTGGAATTCTCTCCCCAGATCATCAGAGACAATATTCACTTCAACAATTGAACTACACTGTGATCATATACACTTCCTTCAGTTAGTTGGGGTTCTGCTGTTGTTCACCATTTCCGAGTGGAGATTTAAAATTGCTGCTGTTTGTTTGTTAGCATGTCCAGTAAATTGGAGAGTTCTCTCCTATTGACAGAACTGCACTTGATCTTTCTCCATATCATCATGGAAGGATGGGGAAAAAAGCAAAGCTGAAGTGAGAAATGGTGACTTTAGGAAATGGTCATTTGTCTTAAATTCTCCAATAAATCTGAGCTACACTCTATCAAAGTGAACTAATATCCAATTGGGTGAAGAAACCACCTTCAGGAAAGATAGAAACCCACATCAGAGACAGAATTCATGACAATGCAAGTGTCAAGTGAAATTCCAGAGCAGGTTACATCAGATTATTCAGAATCAGGACAAGAGATTCTCCCATCACATTCTCCTCTGATCCATTCAAACATACTTCACTCAGCACTGTCTCAATAGTCAGTTATGTTATTTACAATATTTTTAGTATCCTAGCATCCAAATAATGGGGGACAAAACAGCCACCTTGCCAGAAGTGGCTTTACCAATAGATGGAACCTGGGATTTAAACTCCAAATGATCCCACTGAGTTTGGAATCTATTTGAGTTCCCCTTCCAGGTCTTTGACGCTTTCATCTCCAGTCAGAGCGACTCTGGTATAGGATCAAAGAAGTCAAAGCATTAACTCCAAGCACAGACAGCTGAGAACTCTTTATCACGTGACACTTTCAGAAGTGGAGGGATAGAATGTGATAAAGATAAACTCTGCACATCTCAGACAAAAGGTAATAGTTCTGCAATGATGAGTAAGGAGGGAATCTGAGTCAGCCCATCTCCTTCCAGTGTCACAGAGGCTGAAATAACACTTTTTCCTGCCCCTGCTCCTCTTCATTTAAATACAATTTGAAAAGTTCCCAATATAACAGCTCTTCAGCACAACCCAGAGCAACATAAGAACAGGCAATGATTCACCAATGATACAGATTGTCTCTCTGTAATGATGCTGCCTTTGGCGGGACACAACTGAGAGTATCAATTCAGGACAAATTGCTTAGAGCAGGGCAGTTACAGCCCAAAGGTGGGTTTCCTGTATTATTAAGGCACACCAAACCAGCCAAACAGAGAAGACTTTGGTCTCAACCCACTGGCTAAACATAAGTTATACAAGTAATTTCCTTAGACACTCCAGTTTCCCAGTATCACCACCAGTGCCACTTGTTATGAGGATGAATGGTTATGAAAACCAATACCCCAGTAAAAGAAAAAAGGTTCTCCCGATCCAAAAGGACCAAGCCCCAAACCCAGGTCAATATACAAATCAGATACTATGCACAAATCTCTCTCTCCTATAACTGGAGAGAGAGAGAGAGAGAGAGAGAGAGAGAGAATTAAATTGCACTTTTCTTTCAGCCAGAAATTGCAAATCATGTGCTTTTTAAATACCTCGTTCTGGAAAAACAGTCTCTCTCTCCCCTTTTTCCTTCCCTTTGTCATTTTAACTTCTCCTTTCTTTTCATTGCCAGTCCTTTAGAATCTAAAATCTAAAGATTTATTCATAAGAAAAAAAATATATAGATGAGAGCTAGAATTGGTTAAATGGAATCAATTATATACAGTAATAGCAAACTTCTTGGTTCAGATTATAGCAGTGATGGAATAAACTGCAGGTTCAAATTAAGTCCCTGGAGTACACCCACAGCTGGGATGGGTCATTCAATCCTTTGTTCAGAGATTCAGTTTGTAGCAAAGTTCCTCCAGGGGCAAGAAGCAGGATTAAACACAAGATGGAGGAGATGCAGCAGTCTTTTATAGTCTCTTGCCATGTGGCCTCTGCTTTCTTTGTTCCAAAAACAAGCTATCCAGCACATGGCATGGAAAAACCTTAGAGTTCTATCCATAGGCATGTCCCTGCATGCCTTGCTGAGTCACAAGGTGTATATTCCTTCTCTCAAAGGGTCAGTTGTAGCTGATGGTCCTTAATCAAGGAGGCAAGGCAGTGCTGATGACAAATTGTCTGGGGTGTCACCCAGAAGCATAGCACAAGCTTGAAATACAGACAGTATAGAGCAAATACTTATAACTTTAAATACAGAAATGATACATGCATAGAGATAGCATAACCATAACCAGCAAATCAAAACCTTGTCTTATACACCTTATTTGACTCACTTTATACAAGATTTGGTGCCACTATAGCTGCAACAATGATCTATACCAGCGGTGTCCAATACGTTTGCCACTAGCCATATGTGGCTAATAGGCTATTGAATTGTGGCTAATGCATGTGGCTTTTTTATAATGTGGCTAATAAAAATTCAAAACCACAAGTGGGGCTAGCAGTGTGGCTAGCATCAAATTTCTATTGGACACTACGGATCTATACAGTCCCAGTTCATATTAATAACGTCACATTCTAACAATAACTTTGAAACAGGAGAAATGGTATTAATATGATGCTCCCTGGTTCCCGACAGGAAGGGCACACTCGAATTAGAGACCTATTTGTCCACCTCAAAACAGGGAGAACTGCAAAAGGCAAAAATGGGCCAATCAACAGGACAAACTGAGGGATAACGGTGCTGCAAACAGTCAAATAGCTTTAAAAGTTACTACGTGGGAATCAGGAAAAGTATTAAAAAAAAAATAATGGTAACCCTAGAGGTTTTTATGGTGTTGATCTCCCTTGCAGATTCTCTGATGCCTAACATGGTCTGAGTGCCAAGGGAAGGTATTCCCACACTCAGTGCATTCTCCGATGTTGAAAAAGATCTGATCTTTGAGTGAAGCTTTTTCCACACTCACTGTATTCATAGGGCCTCTACCCTCTGTGGATTCTCTGATGCCTAATAATGGATGATCTGTGAGTGAAGTTTTTCCCACACTCACTGCATTCATAAGGTCTCACACCAGTGTGGATATTCTGATGTTCAGAAAGGACTGATTTGTGAGTGAAGTTTTTCCCACACTCACTGCATTCATAGGGCTTCTCCCCTGTGTGAATTCTCTGATGCGTAATAAGGTGTGAGCTGTGAGTGAAGCTTTTCCCACACTCACTGCATTCATAGGGCCTCTCCCCTGTGTGGATTCTCTGATGTTCAGAAAGCACTGATCTGTGAGTGAAGCTTTTCCCACACTCACTGCATTCATAAGGCTTCTCCCCTGTGTGGATTCTCTGATGTTGAAAAAGACCTGATCTTTGAGTGAAGCGTTTTCCACACTCACTGCATTCATAGAGCCTCTCCCCTGTGTGGATTCTCTGATGTTCAGAAAGGTCTGATCTTTGAGTGAAGCTTTTCCCACACTCACTGCATTCATAGGGCCTCTCCCCTGTGTGGATTATCTGATGCCTAATAAGGTGTGATCTCCGAGTGAAGCTTTTTCCACACTCACTGCATTCATAGGGCCTCTCCCCTGTGTGGATTCTCTGATGCCTAATAAGCTGTGATCTGGGATTGAAGTTTTTCCCACACTCACTGCATTCATAGAGCCGCTTCCCTGTGTGGATTCTCTGATGACTAATAAGGGCTGAATAGTCACGTAAGTTTTTCCCACACTCAGTGAATGTATTTTTTCTCTTTCTCCTGAGGATTTCTTGCTGTGTTGTGGTTTCCTTAAGGTACTTCTGAGTTCCTGGACAGGAAATACATTTACCCACTTTCAACTCTGGCTGGCTTCCTTGTTCTCTTTCTGGTCTGTGCTGAATCTCACAGGATTTTCCCAGCTCATGACTCCTGGACACATTCCTTTCCGATCTTTGCGATAATTCTCTGTGTTTATCCACTTGCTCAACATTTTCCTGCTGAGAATTCTGCTCCTCTTTCTCACATATCATTGCATCACCTGCTGTAATAGAGATAGAAACCTCAACCAGGGATGGAAAAGGGAAGAGCAAAATAAAACAAGTGCTGGAGAGAGGTCAAATAAAGATCAGAAACTGAATTCCCCCAAACCCTTCCAGCAAATAGGAGAGAGGAGGGGATCAACTTGGCCTTCACATCCCATCCAAATTCACAGGGGGAGAAGGGGAAGTTACTGCCTGGTGTCTGCTAGGATCTACAGGAAGTCTAAGCTATATTTACACTGAGGATCCGACCCCTGCTAGGGACAATAATGAACTGAGAGAGCTTCCAAGGGCTTTGTAGGGCATCCCAGCTGTTTCCTTCATGCACTTTCAGATTATGAGTTGGTTTAATGTTTCCTCACCTGTGCAGGGAGCTCTCAGGATCTCTCTTTCCTCTGAACGCTGGAGGTCTGGGACCCATGACTCTTTCCCTTGTTCCAGCTGGGAGCTCACATCAGGTTTGGAAACTGGAAACCCTGCTCAGATGAAAGAAAACAAAAAGGAGTTCAGTTGTTTTCATAAGATTTGATCATAAAAAACATTCTATTAATTTATCTTCAGTGCTTAGTGTGACCTGGTGTGCCTGCAGTAGTCCTCACTGAAAATGCCAAGGTCAGGGCAGGCTGAAAAAGGGAGAGCAGATGCTCCAAAAGCTAGTGGTTAACACTAAAGTTAAACTCACCTACCAGTCACAAACTGTACTTCTGATCCCCCACACTACTACTGAGAAGCTGAAAAAAGAAACCACACAGCCCCCTTTATTGCATTCCAGTTCTGAATCCCAATCGGCACCTAGGTACAATACAGTGAGAGGTTATTTAAAAACTCTTCTCACAAAGTGTTCTTCTGACCCCAAAGGGTCAGCCACATTACTGGGTCACTATAGGTTTGGACCTTACCCAAAATACCTTGCTGCCAGCTAATCCTTTTGTGACGTTGTTGACAGAATCTGTAACCATGTAAATCACTGCTGCAACCACTGTTATAGATTTGCAGCAAAAATTGTACAAAGGCTAGCATTTGAGGTGTGTAGGACAAGGTTATGGTTTGCTGGTTATGATTATGCTATCTGTATATGTGTATCGTTTTTGTAGTTGAAGTTATGAATATTGGCTCTATACTGTCTGTATTGCAAAATTATGCTATGCTTCTGGGTGACATCCCACACAAGTTGGTATCAGCTTTGCCTAGCCTGCTTGATGAACCAAGAACTTTGCCATTACTGTATGGAATTTATTAAATTTAAACAATTCTAGCTCTTTTTCCTTTTATGAATAAACCTTTAAGTTTCAGATTTTAAAGGATTGGCAACAGCATGATTTGTGGGTAAGATCTGATTTGTATATTGACCTTTGTCTGGGGCTTGGTCCTTTGGGATCGGAAGAACCTTTTTCTTTTACTGGGGTATTGGTTTTCATAACCATTTGTCCCCATAGCGAGTGGCACTGGTGGTGATACTGGGAAACTGGAGTGTCTAAGGGAATTGCTTGCATGACTTGTGGTTAGCCAGCTTGGTAAAACCAAAGTCCTCTCTGTTTGGCTGGTTTGGTTTGCCTTAGAGGTGGAAAACCCCCAGCCTTGGGCTGTAACCGCCCCGCTTGAAGCAATTTGTCCTGAATTGGCACTTTCAGTTGGGTCCCATCAGAATCAGCATTGTTACACCTTTAGCATCAAAACTAAAGGTTTATTATAAAGGAAAGCTAGAAAGAAAAAGGGAGTTGTTAAATGGGAAAGCAGTCATATACATTCCAAAATCTATATATCGGGTTCTTAGTGGTATTGGTGAGTTGCTGGCTTGAAAGTCCATCTGGAACCCATCCACAGTTTGGATGGGTCATCCAGTCCTTTGTTCAAGGCTTCAGTTTGTAGAGAAGTTGCTCCAGAGGTAGGAAGAGGGATTGAAGACAAAATGGAGATGATGCAGCTGCCCTGTATATTCCTTTTGCCATGTGGCTTGTACTTCCTGTGTCCCAAACACAAGCTTCACAGTACAGGGCATGGAAAAGCCTTGGAGTTCTCAGTACACAGGCATACCCCTGCATGTCTTCCTGACTCAATAGGTGTATCCCCTTGATCACAGCAGAGCAAACTACGGCCGCAGGCCACATCCGGCCCACAGGACGGTCCTGACCGGCCCCTGAGCTCCTGGCCGGGGAGGCTAGCTCCCCGCTCTTGCTGTTCCCCCTTCCCTGCAGCCATGCCACTGTGCAGGTAGTGCTCTGGGGGGCGTCGTGCACTCCTGTGGGGCAGTGTGTCTGGCTCCACGCGGGCCACACGGTTGCCAGACATGCTGCTCTGAGCAGCATAGTAAGAGGCCGGGGGGGGGGGGGGAGAGGGGTTGGATAAGGGGCAGGGAGTCCCAGGGGGCAGTCAGGGGACAGGGCGGTTGGATGGGGCTGAGGTTCGGGCAGGGTGTCAGGAGACAGGGAACGTGGGGGTTGGATAGGCGTGGGAGTGCTGAGGGTCTGTCAAGGGCTGGGTGGGTGGATAGGGGTCTGGGCATTCAGGGGGGGCTGGGAAGGGGGTGGGGTCCTGGGAGGGCAGTTGGGGTTGTTGGTCTCAGGAGGGGGCGGTCAGGGGACAAGGAGCAGGGGGGGGGGAATTCGGAGGGGGCAGGGCCAAGCTGTTTTGGGAGCCTTCCCTACCTGGCCCTCCATACAGTTTTGCAACCCCAATGTGGCCCTTGGGCCAAAAAGTTAACCCACCCCTGCCCTTGATCCTTTCCATGGGCTCATTGTACAGCTGATGACCCAGAATGGGCCATCAAACAGCCTAGGCAGTGCTGATGCCAATATGTCTGGGGGTGTCACCTGGAAACACTGCACAAGTCTAGAAATATAGATATTTAGAGTACATCTATAACTCACAATAGAAAGGTGATACAAACATAGAAACAAAATTATCATACTTGGAAAATCATAACATTTTACATGGCATATCTAGCACGATTCATTGTAATTTTATCTCATTGGTATTAATAATAAAATAATAATAATATAAAGTGCCTCAATTCCATACAGTGTCACACTTGGTAAACCAGTGAATTCCCAGGACCAGCTCCCCAGGTCCTTGAAGATGCAAAACACTCTGCTTATGAGGGTTTGAAACACCCCCATATCTGCTGGGAACACCCACAGTGCGTCAGTCTATACTCCATGTTGACCCTTCAAGAAAATTATGACCAATTTTGTACATAGTATAGCTTGTGAGGTATCATTTGAAAACACAATCTACTGAATATTATCCTCCTCTTAAAATGTGTAGCAACACTGTATGTAAAGTTATGAGATTTTACTGTATGATATTACTGTAAAAGTTACAATTCTGGGGAACACCCACAGACCACTTCCTCAGAGACAGCAAGGCAAACAGCTGGTCAAATAGCCATTCTCTGGAGGGGGAAGGTGTGAAGAAGACCTTTACATTCCTTCATAGGGATCACTGGAAGCTCATATCTACAACAGACAGACCGTCACCATGACTCAGCTGAGAACTGAAGTTGTTTCTTGTACAAAGGACTGAATTATAAAAAGAGGTGAGGAAAATGCTTGAGACTCTCTCTCCCCCCTTTCCCTCTGCTCATGACAACTCCTGAAGAACTGGACTTGGGTAGCAGGGGCGGGTTAGGGGGAGTCCTGGCTGAAAGGAAAGCCAGCCAGTCTAAGCACATGGTGAGAGAAACATTAGCTTTGAATCTGTTTTAGCTTGTTAAGTTAAACATTAGTTTGTGTTTTATCTTGCATTTCTTTTGTAAACAATTCTGACTTGAATGCCTCATTACCCTTAGTCAACTACAAAAAAAAAAAAAGATTTTAACAATCTTGTTTTATTGTTCTATCTAACCAGTGTGTTTGGATGAAAGTGTGTTGGAAACACCATTTGGGATAATAAGGCTGGTGCATGGTATTTTCCACTGATTAAATGACAGACTTCATATGAGCTTGCGTTGTTCAGTAGTGTGCTGGATGGTGCAAGATGAACATTTCTGGTGGAAAGTCTGGGACCAGAGAATTTTCTGGGGTTCTCCTGTGGGGTACTGTAATTCGTGAGTGGCTGACTAGCAGCACACAGTACTGTGTAGCTGGGAGCGAGTTACAAGCTGGAGACTGTGTGTTAACTGCCCAGAAGTGGCTGCTCTCACAGTAAAGCAGTGGAAAAGGCACCCCAGCCTGGGGAACTGAGGGGACACAGCTGTTCAACAGTCCAGACTGTACTATGGTTAATGTCACTGACACTCAGTTTCAAAGAGTTTCCTAAAACACCGAGAAACTAAAACTGTGTCCCAGAAATCGAAGTCTCCAGAGAGAGGGCAAGTCTCCCTGGCACTGCTTCTTGCTGACAGAGGTCCAGAGACAAAGAGAGTCTTGGAGAAGCTGGGAACAGTAAGCATGGGCTGGTGGGGTTCAGTGGAGAAAGGGAACAGGAAGGGCAGGGATATTACTGAATGCAGGATCTCAGCAGTACTAGATGTCAGGATAATACATAGTGCAGCCCATTGGAAAACATAATCCCAACTATACATATAAAATGACGGGGTCTAAATTAGCTGGTTCCACTCAAGAGAGGGATCTTGGACTCACTGTGGATAGTTCTTAGAAAACATCCACTCAATGTGTAGCGGCAGTCAAAAAGCGAACAGAATGTTGGGAATCATTAAGAAAGGGATAGATAAGACAGAAAATACCATATTGCCTCTATATAAATCCATTGTATGCCCATATCTCAAATACTGCATGCAGATGTGGTCGCCCCATGTCAAAGAAGATATCATGCAATTGAAAAGGGTTTAGAAAAGGGAAAAAAAATGATTAGGGGTATGGAACAGCTTCTGTATGAGGAGATATTAAAAAGACTCGGACTTTTCAGCTTGGAAAAGAGATGAAGGGGGGTGAGGAGAGAGGTCTATAAAAGCATGATTGACGTGAAATAAGGAAGTTATTTACTTCTCATAACACAAGGACTAGGAATCACACAAAACAAAATGAATAGGC